TGCAAATTAGCCTGCAGTACCACTGCTCTACCCATATGAGCAGCAAAAACACTTTTTTAGACCAAATATTACAGATTTGAACAAATACGCACAAAAACATCTAAATTAGCACAGAAACAGTACTATATAACATTTTATACACATTCTAGACAGTTTATGAGCTAAAAAAAAGTTAATTTAGGGGGTAAGTTACTCTTTAAATCACACAGAATCTAAAAGTTATTCAGCCGGGGAAGGATTGCATTTCATTGAGGCATTTTGCTAGCAGACATATTATTCTAACATTAATTGCTGTCCATCCTTTGCCTTTCAGCAACGAGCCGATTGATGATTTAAGAGCCAAGTGTGTGTAGTAAACTTTACAGGCCCAAAATGTTAACGTTTACATCTGCAGAGCAGACTGGACCTGTTCTGACGCTCTCTTCCTGCAGCCCCCCACCCAGCTCGTTAATCCTTCAGCACATCAAATGCAACTCAGAGACAATACTTGTCAGCCGAAAAAAAAAAAAAAAAAACTCAGGAAAATGAAATGTAACCTGACGAGTTCTGTTGCCTTCGGTTGTTTCTGAACAAACACAAAGCTCTGAAAGCTTTTGCTTAAGTTGCTGTTTACATTGGGGGTGAAACCATCAACAAACTGGGAACCAGCTCCGTTGTTAGTCAACCAGAGTGTATAGCAAACTTTCGTACTTATATAAAATAATGATTGATGGCTTGGTTTGTGGGCTTTTTTTTTAATTACAGGAAGTGGAGAGTAGCTCTAAAATCTACGACGTTTATGTTCACTCGTCTCACATAAAGAATCTGACTGAATGAATAAATCAAACTTTAAAAAAAAGCTATTTTAATGCATTTGTTAGATTTTATAATCCCAGACGTAAAAGTAATGTAAAACCATTACCAGTCTATGACGCAGTACTGTATGTCATAAATGTGCTTCCAATGCATTTTAAAGGTTTTTGTAAAAGGTTGTGGACTTACATTTTGGCCTGTGACTAAACTAAAACTGTCCAACACAGACTGAGGAAGTGAAAAAGGTTGGTTTGTTCAGAATTAACACACTACATCTAAACTACCACCCAGCTGAAAAATAAAATAAAACTAAAAAAAAAAATAAAAACCTGCAGCAAACAACAACACTGTGACTTCTCTAAAGCAAGTGGACACCAGAGGGATTTAACCTTTCCTCTATTATCCCACTGGTCTTGGACCTATTGCACAGTAGGTCCAAGACTTGTAAACTAACAAGAACTACAAGACACTGACTGAAGAAAAAGTCAAATATCTGTGAGGAGGAGGGGTGCCAGCTGTGACAACATCCACTTCAGAAAGACTGGTATCTTTAAACAAAGCCAATAAATTATTATTATTATTATTATTATTATTATTATTATTATTATTATTACCCAGCTTCTTATTACCAGGAAGCAGATGCTTATCTCCAGCAACCACTGAGAGAGATGGAGGACAACAAGGACAGGTGTCCACAGTCCATCACAGGGACACATGGAGACAAAGGAGATAACAAATTTCCTCCTAGAATGCGGGAGGAGCCTCCTTGTTAGTAAAAGGACAGGTCTCTGTGCCACCCACCCGGGCAGCTGTATTACACCGGATATATTCGGCTCGTATCCTTTTGAAAGAAAAGTGTTTTGAAAGCTGGGCAGAGCTCCGTGTTGGTGTTGACACAAACACGCCTGCTCACATGACCGGCAGGCAGCGCGCAGTCATACCGAGACGTGTTCGTCATCCCAGCAAGCTAGCTAAACAACGGTATCAAACTACTACTGCAGGAACATTTTCTATTCCTCTTAGCAGACAACTAGTTGTTGTTGTGTTTAGCCCTCAAACCCAACACAGAAAGCTTTCTCTCCTCCTCTCACAGGTAGTAGCCTCAGCCGGGCCCGCTGTGCTAACATTAGCTACTTACTGCAATTACGTTGACAAATGTGGTTTTTCCCGAGTACTGAAGACCGACTAATGTCAGCTCCATCTCTTCTTTCCAAAACAGCGACCTGAACCAGTCCAACAGTCTGTTTATGAGGGCCAGCATCTTGGGTATCAGTGTAGACGGAGTCCCTTAAGCCGAGTGTCTGTGGATGTACTCCGGAAGCTGCTGGCTGCTTTGTCATTTCATCATGTGATCGACGAGGAAAAAAAAAAAAAAAAAAAAAAAAAAAAAA